GTCGTCCGTGGGATTTGAACCCTAGACCTGCTACTTGGAGAGGGTGACAACTTGACCACTTCACTAAGCCGCCACACTTCTACGGCACTATTTTTGCCTGTGCGAGGCTATATAAATTATATAATATTGTATAAAATAAAATCTAACCTAACATTATATGTAATACTAGAAGTAGAAAAGAAAATAAAAGAAAACATTTAACATTAAAAAATTTTTACATGTGATTTCTACGATCCTCTATACTATAAACAGTACCGCTATCAGTGTTTATTTGGCAAAGCATAATCCAAATAAGCTTATAAGAGATTCCATTTTAGTAGACGCATCCTAATTTGGAAAGAGTAAACACTGCTGATCTTTTGGAGAAGTATGCTGATTTTTCTACTTTTTGGTCAAAATTTCAAAAAAAATTTTAAAATAGTAAAAATATAGTAGAAGATCTTTGATTGCAGGTCCTTCAAAACTTCTAAAGAGTGTGTTAAAATCCAAAACTTTTGTTGTTTTCCCTGTGTTCTTCTTCGAAGTAACGGCCTAGGGCTTCGTCAATAAAGTAGTAGCCTATTATATAACTTACTTTCTTCACCAAAATTTTTCATATAAAGGCACCAGGGTAGCAAGCCCCTACTAGTTATCTTGTATAATAATGCTTCTGGCTTGTATGCCGAATGTTTTTTTAGAGAAGTCCCCCAAAAGAAAAAGTTAACCTCTAGACAAACCACACTATAAAGCCATATCTCTTTAACAAAAGTTGTTTTTCGTTAGTTGAAATTTTGGTACGAGTGATTGTTGGGAAAAGTTAATTGTTTACTTTTTTAATTTATTTTTATTTTATTTTTCAATATATGTTTTTGTATAATAAATATAAAAAAATTATTTTCTTTTACTCTTAGTAAAGAAAAAATTATTGAAAAATTAGCTTTTAATAAGCTAACAATATTTATTTACTTGTATACAAGTTGGTGTGATAGATTACTAATAGGCATGTTTTATTGTAACTATGAGATATTGGGCTTAACAGGATCCCAGATATTTAGAATATAGATTATATATAAACTTTTTAGCAAAATCTTTCTAAATTTGAAAAACAAAAAAATAGTTTTTTATAAATATTTTAGCAACTAGTGGTTCAATTTGAATAAACCTTTTTTAAATGAAAGCTCTCAGTAAGGCATATCTTTTAAAAAAAAGTTTATTCAATTCTGATTACTTTTAATAAAAAGATAAGAGGAAGTCAATAGAAAAAAGACAAATCATTTTTAGTAAAATTTTTTTAATTTTTAAATTAAAATATCTTAACAACTATTTAATTAAATTTGCTAAAAATTTTTTTATTTTAATCTTGAAATTATATAGAATTAAAATAAAATTTTTATTAAATTTGATAAGTTAATTTCAAAATATTTAATTAGTAATTTACTAGTTAACCAGAGAGTGATTATAGTAAATGTGATTCAAATTATTTATAAAAATTAGAGGTCTTTAAATGTGGTGTGTACATATCTAAAACTTTTTTTTATACTAAGTTAATTACCTTTCTAACTTAAGAGACTTTTGTAGAGCATGTCAAGATACATCTAATAGTGGTTAAAGCATCAAAATCGGCCTGATGGGTGCCAAGATATCTTTAAAAAATATTTCTTTTACTATGTAAACTTCTTTTTAAACAATACTATTGTTTGTAAAGAAGTTTACATAAAAAAAAAATGTTTTTAAAGATATCTTAGCACCCACCAGGCCGATTTTGACACTTTAACTACCATTAGATGCGTCTTGACATACTCTACAAAAGTCTCTTAAGTTAGAAAGATGATTAACTTAGTATAAAAAAAAGTTTTAGATACATGCACATCACATTTAGAGACCTTAATTTTTATAAGTAATTTGAGTTACATTTTACTATAATCACTCTCTGGTTAACTGGTGGATTACCAATTAAGCTTAAAATCAAAAAAACTTTATTTAAAAAAAATTTGTCTTTTTTCTATTGACTTCTCCTATATAGCTATAAAAATTATCTTAATACTAAAAAAAAATAAAAAATAAAAAATAAAAATATTAAAAATGAATTTTCTGCCATCTAATAAAAAACTCTCTTTTTTCTTTAATTTTTTGCACTTCTCTAATTATTATTAATAAGATTATTTAAATTTGGGTCAAATAACCAAATTATTTATAATTTCTACTAAACAAAACTTTTTTTAATATCTTTCTAATATTAAAAGTTTTTTAACAAAAAATTTTGTATAAAAACTTTTTACAATTCGAGTATATAGATTTATAGAAAAAATTTTAATACTAGCAAAGATAGTAAAAAAGATCTGTTTAGATACTTTTCAATTATCTGTATAAAATAATTTTAGCAAAGTGATCATGCTAAAACCTGTTATCTAAAATTACTAGTGATGAAATTTTTTTGGCGATGACCTTACTCTGGTCTAAGCGAATGGATCAATGCCATTGATAAATTTATTCTTAATAAGCATAGTCCATTTAGTTGGCTAAAACTTTAAAAAACAATAATTATATATATGTGTGTGTCGTAAGTGGGAACAGAATTTAAGTTGATTCAGGATTTTTAGTAAATGGATTCCGAGCTTATTATGATTCCATTCCCACTTCTGCACTTACAACATATACAGTATAATTTTACAGTATTAATCTAACTTAGGATTCTGTTATTTATTTTCAAAAGCTTATTTTTTTAAGTTATCAAGACAATAACAAATTATTACGTCACGCGCACATCTGCGTCATCTGCGTATCCTATATCAGATATAAACAAATTTCATTGACACCATAAAAGATTTGTCTTTGGAGCTTAATAAAGAACTATTGTAAACTTTAGTACAATGGTAAACCTTGATTTGTAAACTGACCTAAATTTTTGCAAAGCCATTTATTATTTGATGAATCCTCGGGTTTTTTTTCGTGTTTTCGTATTTATTGTGAATTTGAAAATATACTGAAAGAGATTGCTTTTCTTTTTAATATAGAACTCTTCTCATGAACAAAAAGTTAATAAAGAAAATCTGAAGTGTAGCCAGAGCCAGTAAGACTCAATATCATCGATAAATTGAATTATCACAGATAATAATGAACATTTATTTATTAATATTAGGCGGACTATTCCTAGTACATTTTCTATGAATGATTTTAAAATTGGGCGACAGATCGGCAAGGGTAAATATGGTCGCGTATATCTGGCGATTTATAAGGCAAGTGGGTATGTCGTCGCACTGAAAATTCTGCTAAAACAAGAGTTACAACATGAAAAACTCTTGAAACAATTGGAGCGAGAGGTTGGAATTCAGGGCAATCTTGAGTAATTCAATTTATTTTACATGAAGTAATATGAAGTAATGAATTGAATTATCAGTTATCAGGATTAAATGGATAAATATGAAATTTTACTTTTAGTCACCCTAATATCCTCAAACTTTATGGCTATTTTCAAGATGATAAATATATTTTCATGATTTTGGAATTTGCACAATATGGAACGTTATATGATTTTCTCAAACAATCAGATCGTATTACTGAGGGACGATCGGCACGGGTAAATATGCGTAAATACTTTATACGATTCATGGCGAATAATAATAATATCTTATTTTCAGTATATAGCGCAGATAGCCAGAGCTCTGCAATTCATTCATCAGAAGCACATTATTCATCGAGACATTAAGCCTGAGAATTTGTTAATTGGACGAAATGGTGTGATCAAACTAGCTGATTTCGGATGGTCAACATACGCCCCAAATTTATCAAGGCGAGTAGCCAATAAAACTTGGATTGTTTGATATCGATATATAAACTTATATATATTTGATTTTTTTTTATGCGTGACTCAGTACCCCGCTTACAACAGTTTGTGGAACTTTGGATTATCTTGCTCCAGAAATGGTGCGACACCTTCCATATAATGAAAATGTCGACGTGTGGGCTCTTGGAGTACTGTGTTACGAGTTGTTAGTTGGTGTACCACCGTTTGAAGCGATAGGTTTTCATGAAACTTGTCGACGAATAATGTGTGATGATGTAAATATTCCTGATCACGTGTCAAGTGAAGCTAGGAACTTCATTTTAATGGTAATTAACAAATTATTTTCGTTATTACCGTATTAAGTTATTGCATTGTTTCATTTGTTATAATCTTTATGTAGGTTCTTCAAAAAATTCCGTTCTGTCGCCCATCTTTGAAAGATATTCTGAATCATCCTTGGATTCGTATGCACAATAGCATGACAATACCTTCATCTTCGAGTAAACCACGAGTTAACATTAATAGACACACTTTTAATAATGCACTGTCTGAAATTCGGTACAATACTTTTTGACGTTACTTTCATTTTCTTATTTTGACTGTTTTCGATTGATTTGAGATATATTGAGTGTATTACTTTAATAACTGTTAATGTACATTTTTACGTAAAAATAAAAATAAAACAGCTAATAATAAAGTATTAAGTATTAATGTTCACTGCTTAAAACAAACAAGCCGTCTTTTTACTTTAAACAATGAGGTCCTCTTGTAAGATAAAGGATAACATTTATATAAACAAAATTTTTACATTATACTGTAAAACAAAATATCTAATAACATCTAATACATTGGAGTGTTATAAAGTGGAAACTATATTTCGCACCAATATATTTCTTTCTTTTAAATAGTTTTTAACACTTTGAATTGGTACTTCGCGCCGATGAAATATGCCAGCAGCAAGAGCGGCTTCTACATTGGTTTCAACAAAGACCTTCTCAAAATGTTCTTCTCGTCCTGCACCACTTGATGCGATAACCGGTATATTGACCGCTTTTTTTACATCTTGTATTAATTCTAAGTCGTACCCAGAATTGGTCCCATCTTTATCCATACAATTAAGGAGAATTTCGCCAGCACCCATGGCTTCACAGGTAGTAACTAGTTGATGAACATCAATGTCTCGACCTTCACGACCGCCTTTCACGGTACATTGATACCAACACCAAGTTTCCCCTTTGGGACCGGGGTATGATGTTGGGATAACGTGATGTCCCATCGCATTAGCTGGAGAATCAACGTAAACGCGTCTTGGATCTACAGAAATTACAACTGCTTGGGACCCATAGGCACGAGCGATAGTTTCGATTGCAGTGTTTCCTGATAATTTCTTATCATTTGCGAGATATTTTTCTACAGCGTACACAGCATCACTACCAATAGAAACTTTATCTGCCCCTGATCTAAAGTATTCTCCTGCAACGTCAAGTGCAGAATGAAATTTACCATCAGGGTCAATTACATCTCTTATGCCACCGCCAATAGTTAAAGGAACAAAAACAGTTTCAGAAGTACGCTTTAGAATTTCTAACATTGGTAAATCCGTGAGCGGGCAATTTCGAAAGCTCGTAATGTTTAAAAATGTAATTTCATCAGCACCTTCATCAAAATATCGACGTGCTAAATCAACAGGTTTTCCAAGATTGCGAACCTGTCCTGAAACTCCAGAGCCATCATTACACTCGCGAACGTCATATTGGTCGCCCTTAGTAACGACCAAATCACCTTGATCGTTAGTCCGCACGTCTAAACATGCGATAATTCTTTTGGTAAACCGATCTCGTGGTAAGATTTCTGGATTTTTTATTATGAATTGCCCGCTGGTATTATTTACAATGCCTTTCCCTTGTAAAAAGGATTTTAGAACTCTTAAACCGGCATATCCACTTTTTTCTGGATGGAATTGAGTACAGAGAATGTTATCTTTTTGAATTACGCTAATAAAAATTTCTTTCCCATATTGAGTTGTCGCGAGTGTCCATTCCTTGAGTTCATCTGTGAAGGGTACAGCATAAGAATGGACAAAGTAATAGACAGTTCCTTGCTCAATGCCATGGTGATTATCTTGCGGATAGTCTTCGTTAACTCCGTTGATCCTCCTGACACAAAATACTTCATTCCATCCCATATGTGGAACGGCTTTATCAGTTTTATTAAGAAGCTTTACAGTACCCGGAATAATGCACAGACCAGGAACATCGGGATTTTCCTCGGAACCATGGAATAAAGTCTGTAAACCGACGCAAATCCCCATGTATGGTTTTCCTGATTTTATATATTGCTTTAGAGGTTCGACATAATTTTTTGATGCTAATAATTCCATCGCACTGCCAAAAGCACCTACTCCCGGAAAAATTAATTTCTGCATTAATCACGTGAAAATGATAAAAGATGTTTAGCTTGAGATTTCTCGGTTTTTCTTTATCAAATATATATATATATATTTTGTCTACTTACATCTGCTTCTAAAATATCCTCAGGTTTTTTAACCCATTTAAATTCATATTCTAGCCGATTTAAAGCATTTGCCAAGCTACGTACATTTCCTGCTCCATAATCTAATAAGTATAAACCACCCATTGCTTATTGTAGGACTTAAGAAAAAAAAAAAAAAGAAGATTTTTTGGGTCTCACGCGTCATAAACTGGAAATCATTATTGTGACTCAAGCATCTTGATACCAGTAACATATGATCGTATGATTTGACCAATCAGAAAAGATTTTCTTGTACAATGCAATCCCTATCGAAATATCAAAGTCTAAAGTCTTAATGCACGAAAGTTGATCAATGTCAGTTGATAACGTCGTAAAGGTACATATATTTTATTAAAGTTGTCATTTGTATGCTAATTGCAATAGTGTTAATGGAACCTGCTATTTAAAATTCACAGGTTGCAAACATATCTTCACTCGTAACTGAACCGATACTGAAACAGTTGTTTGAGTTCTTGGGTGATGTTACAAAGATAAAACTATATAACAGGTAAGAATTTTTTTCAATATACGCGTTTATTTTTTACACATTTGTAATGGTGATTATTCTTTTTTACAGTCCTCATGGCGATGGTGTGCAAGAATGTACAATAGAGTTCAAAGAAGCATACTCAGCAATAACGGCTCTCCATTTAACTGGAGTGGAATTGGGTGATCGCACCTTAATGGTTTCGTCAACGACCGCTCCTTCTGGCATTCCTTTTAATAGTTCATACCAACAACAAATCATACCATCGCAGATGCTTCCACAAAATCTCTCACCACCTAGGTCCCTCCAATCTAAATCATCAGCTCAAAAACCCTTGATCACGCCCATTACCGTACAACCGTTCTCTATAAATTCTCTTGCGGCAATAAGAGCGAATCCTGCAATTTCTCCGACTGTCGCACAATTTGATCCAGCTAAAGCCGAAGAAATATCGAGAACGGTATACATTGGTAATATCAATTCCTCGATATCGGAACCGGAATTAACACAATTCTTTTCGGCCTGTGGTCCAGTTGCCTATGTGAAAATGGCGGGTGATCCTGCTCAACCTACAAGGTTTGCGTTCTTAGAGTTCGCCACTTTTGAAGGTGCACAGGCTGCTATGCAAATGAATGGTGTTATGTTAGGAGATCGACCTTTAAAGTAAGATCATTATTATTTGTGGATATTATTATCAATATTATACGCATATATCTTATTAATATTTCTTTACATTATTTTTATAGAGTGAATCATTCGAAGAATGCAATTAATAAAACTCCTAAAAAGAATGATGCACCAGATGTACAAGCTACCATGCGCCGTGTTAGGGAAGCTCAACTAAGAATTGCTAATAGGTTAAATACTGATGGGCCTATAACAGACAATTCTCCTTCAGCATCAATAAATGATGTTGAAATGATGGATGTTACTTCACCTGCTGCTGAAGCAATCGTATCTCGTAGTCGTTCTAGATCCATCCGACGTAGCAGAACTAGATCCAGAACGCGAAGTCGTAGTAGACCCAGGAAACGTAGGTCAAGGACTAGGTCAAGGTCGAAAGATAGAGGTATGTATTGTTTAGATGTTTTGTTAAAGTATGAAAAACTTATTCAAAATGTAACACATCGAGTTTATCACGATAGATTACCATTATAGAAGGCGTCGTTCAAGAGATCGAGATCGTGATAGAGGTTTGAATCTGGCTTGGCTTGTTTTTTTTTTTTTTTTTAATCAGAGGCATCGGTGCGACAATGATGAGTGATCAAGCCACGTAAGTGGCATTATTCAACAGCTTGCCCTTTTTATAAGTAAATTACAGCACTGACACCTCTGGATTGGTGCATTGAGCCCATCTAGTTTGTATTGACGTTTAGAATTTATTTAAATTTGTAGGTGACCGGTATAGAGATCGTGATAGAGAACGGGAACGAGAGCGTGAGAAAGAGAAGGATCGTGAGAGAGAAAAGGAACGCGAGCGTGATAGAGAACGTGACAGAGAGCGTGACAGAGAACGTGACAAAGAACGTGAGCGTGAGAAAGAAAGAAGGGAGAAGGACAGAGAACGCGAAAGAGAGCGTGACAGAGAACGTGAGCGTGAGAAAGAAAGAAGGGAAAAGGATAAAGATAGAGACAAGGACAAAGAAAGAGACAACAAAGAAAGAGACAAAGAAAGAGACAAAGAAAGAGATAAAGAAAGAGATAAAGACAGAGAAAAAGATAGAGATAAAGACAGAGAAAAAGACAGAGACAAGGAAAGAGACAAAGAAAGAGACAGAGATAAAGATAGAGATAAAGAAAGAGACAGAGACAAAGAAAGAGACAGAGATAAAGAAAGAGACAGAGATAAAGAAAGAGACAGAGACAAAGAAAGAGACAGAGACAAAGAAAGAGACAGAGACAAAGAAAGAGACAGGGACAGAGAGAAAGATAGAGACAGGGACAGAGAAAAAGATAGAGACAGGGATAGAGAAAAGGAGAGGGATAGGGACAAAGACAGGGACAGAGATAAAGATAAGGACAGAGACAAGGACAGGGAGAGGGACAAGGATAGAGATAAAGGAAGGGATAGAGAGAGACGCGAAAAAGATGATCATGATAAGAGCCGAGATAAAGATAAACGTGAAAATCGAGAAAAAGAACAGGAACGTGATAGTCGAAGTAGAGGGGATAAAGATAAGAGAGACAAAAAAAAGTAGGGTTGCGGCCAAAACCTTCTTCTTGACTTATGACATTACTACGTAATTCTGGTTTGAGAATCAGGATTTCTACTTAACTTGGGCTGTAACCTAAACCAAAATATTAGTGTCAAATTCAGAACAAACTAAATTTATTAAAATTTGTAATAATAGATACAACATACACGCATTCAACAATGTTATATTACAGTATTAAAAAATTCTACACGAGTAAATATTAATCCGGTCCAAAGATTGAATAGATACCAATAATTAAATATGGTTTAGTTAACATTAACATGTAAAAATTTTATTTGTACAATTAATAATTTCTCAAGTTAAAACTAGGCTTTGAGCAAGGTTATCACATTAGTAAAGAATTTATATAATTTCCGGTCATGTGCAAACATTTGGTGGTTTCTCGGGATTATTGCCTAGTTAGATTGTAAATTATAAAAAAAACTAAAAAATAGTTTAAATTTTTTATAGCAACTAGCATTTAGTTATTAAAAGTTTTTAGCATAAAAATTTTTAAATCTATTATATTTTATATTTTTGTTTAGAGCAAAGTGACGAACTCATAATTCTTATGTATAGTGATTCATAAGTTTTTTGATATATTTATATCGAAGTACTTAAAAAGTAAATTGAAATTTATTTATTTATATAATAAATTATTTTTAATTAGTTGTATATATTATACGTACGTACGTAATAGTTGAAGATACTTTTTTTGGCATGAAGTTATACAGTCGTTCTCTATAATCACGCTGTTTGTTTTACATAAAAAAGATGTGATTATAAATTTTAATAGTAATGTGATTATATAAAGCTTTTTAAATAAATATATTGCCAATAATTTTTCAAAAAATTGTGCTTATAAAGAAGTTGTGATTATATAGGAGGTGGCTGTAGAGGAGGATGACTGTATAATTCTGTAATTTATTAATCAACTGTTAATATTTGATATTTTAAACAGAAGCGTTTAGTACTATATATAATTTATTATAGAATTTAAAGTTAGAGTAGTTTTTAATATAATATTATTTTATATAAAAGATAGAGGCGAATTATTGTACATATAATTCATCATTGCTATCACTACTTTCTTCTGTAATAGCTAAATTTATATTAATGATTTTATCCTTTTTATTATTATTTTTAGGTTTTTCTTTTATCTTATACTGCAGTTCTATTGCCACAGTCTTTTCTAAGAGGCAATATATACAAAGTTTATTGTTTTTTAAATTGTACAGTATATAGTAGTTACAGTATATACTGTATTATAACATATATGGTGATTTTTATCTACAGTATCTGTGTAATAATATACTGTATATACTGTATATTGTGAGAATACCTGGTGTAACTCCTGCTTCTAAATATTCATTAATATTTAAGTAGTTATGATTTAAATCTATATACAGTTAGTGATGCAAATAGCTTGGCTCAACTTGGCTAATGGCTTGCATTGACCAAGCCGAGCTGATCTTTTGGCTCCAAAGGTCAGAGCCAAGCTGTTTGTAAGCTGATTAACCTTGAGTTGAGCTGAGCCACAAGCCGTTACTATATAAGAAAACTATTCAATCAGACACAAACATATTTAATTTAAAATTGATACATGCCAATATATATAATTTTCTTAATATTAATATCATTAATTTTAACCAAGTGTGCGAATGTCCTCTTATTTTTAAAGAAAAAAAAAATACACTAATTAAAATATAAACTTGTCTAAAGCATAACAGTAGTCTCAAGTGTAAAAGGTTAATAATCTATCTTTAGGTTAAAACTATTCCAACTTTAACTTGAAATCAGCTAAGCTTAATTAATCAAATAGATCTAAACTAATAATAGGCGATTCAAATGTGATCTTAGTAATTTTAAACAAAGTACAACAAAATTTATAACTATCCAACAATTCAATACTGAGATAAGTTAATAGGCAATTCTCCAGTTACTTGAACAAAAAATTTTTTTTTATATATAAATTTTACTATAAGTGTGAATATATAGCACCTCTATCTAAAACTTTTTTTTATACTAAGTAAATCACTCTTTGGCTTCTAACAAAAGTTGTAGAGCTTATCAAAATATATTTAACACTAAAAGAATATTAAAATTGATCTGGTAGTTCTTGAGTAATCTTTAAAAAGCTTCTTTTTTACATATTGTTACAATGCTATAGCCTTCTATCAACAATATAGCAAAGTAACAAGGTTACTCACTGTAGAGAAACCTATATTAGGAATATACAGAAAGTGGAGTAAAGTATTTTACTATACTTTACAGCAGCAGGCAAACAGTTCGGGATAGTAATGGTATATTGTATTAACTTTATTAAACACAGATGTCACGATGATAACCTTGTCTGTAGAATTTACCCTAGGGAAGAAATATTACACTATACAAATATAAGAAGAGTAGGATAGTATAAAGCTAGATTCTATAGGAGGGTAGAAAACTCCAACTTGAGCAGAAGGAGCAAAGGCTCCCTTTTTATAACTTTTCTATATATAAGAGGTGTAACAGCTAAACCGTATAAAAGATATAAAAGATACAAAAGGTATAAAAGGTACAAAAGGTATAAAAAGGTATAAAAAGTATAAAAGGTATAATAGGTATAAAAAATACAAAAGGTATAAAAGGTATAAAAGGTATTATCTAGTTAACTAGTAGTCTGTTTGTTATATATTATCTCTTAAGCTGTAGAGTTTGTGTAACAATTTTAGCTTAAAAATAGCATAAATTTAGTTATAATTTATTTTTTTTAATATTTAAAATATTTAAATAAAATTTCATATAATAATA